GATTCTATACTGACTTCATCCTTGCATTCACCGCTAGGATGTAAGCGCCGTCACTGTCTCATCCCGCAGAATTAGCCCACTAACCATATCTTGTGTACACCTTACAGTTTGTACATAAACCCCTGTCACCTCTACCCTTCATGTTACAATTGATGCTTACTTGGTCTTTCTTTCAGCTCGTTGGTCGACCCTTTATTTCCTCTTCATGCCCTCCCTAACATGTTGTATACATCATAACCATTTGTGCACCTTTAGATAGTGAGTCTTCCATTGTTGCTGATACTAATACTACGGCTCCGGATATCTGCTAACTGTTAGTGTAGCCTGTGAGTAGCTCGAGCATACTATCCGGCTCCGTATTTCTCATCAGACCTAACCCCACCTTAGTTTTGCATCCCGGACACTGCTGTACCTACCACTTTGCCGACCTGCGCAGGGCCCTCCTGACCTACCTGCATTATCTCTCCAGTGGTGCGTATTTCGTCTTGATTTTTAGCCAATTCCCAAACACCCTAATAACCAAGTATCATGATAGATTATACTGTGATGCAATCCTATTCGCTACCGGCGCGAGGTTAATTAGCTGTCTCTATAATCCAGACAGATATGGCGTTCCTTTTTATCTTTCATCGTTCTCCACATTGCCCCTTGTTCGATCATATTGTTAGTATGGGCTATGATGTTGTATTGTGCTGAAGCTATTCACCCTTAAATTGGCTATAAGAGCTCTGTTCTTATTCTTTATGGTACTAGTTGCGTTTTCACGGTTTTCTCACCTCAAGAACATAACTAGTGATATCCTCTTGACAAAATGGGTTGGGACTAAGCACGGGTCCCCACAGCACACGGCCGCCATTATAGCAACAAGATAAATAGATAACAACACGGCGTGTCTCCTACTTTGCAACGTAGTTACTCCGCCCGCACCTTTATTTCCTACTCGAACTCAATAAGTAAATTAGCAATCACACATGAGTGCTACTAGCGCTGGTTCTCCGGATCCCCAACGGCCACAAGTTGGCCCATCCCAGGCGGGATGTACTTCTAGTGCTGATAAGCATTTCGAAGAGTCAACTATTTGTCCCACCCTTCCCACCTAGGCGCACCGGTATTTTCGTGACATCTAGGCGCCAGCACCCCTACAACTTGAAGGACTTGAAGCTGTTTCCCAAGCCTCAGCCTGCCTCCCTTCGCCTCCCAAATCCTCCCCCAAAACACTTATCCTTCCGAATCCTACGATTTTCTTCCAGCCCATCTCCCCCCTGCAAAACAAAACCCTCCGCGCGACCCCCCTGTGGAAAGTAGAGAATGAAGCCAACACTCTTACACTGACGTTCTCTGTGTTGTATATAGGCGGGCGTAGCGCCTCGGGATGGCTTGTGCAAACTCAGTAGGACTGGATTTCTTGCCCAAGCCCCTCGCACCGTGAACCGGCCGGGGGCTCCTTCCGCTTTCAATTCTGAACATTTCGAAGAATAATGAGGAGAGGCAGGAGTGTACTGACATCCCCACAACCGTACCCTGCGATCTAACAGAACCCTGTGCCTCGATCACCAACCAAGCACAGCAATGAGAGAACTCGACAAACTCTGGGTATAGTCGCGGCAACCCCAAAGTTTCTCCCCCACTGCGGAGCGGATTCTACGCTCCGCGTTAGGCCAGGCGGGGCAAATAAGGGTCTAGGATCTTCGACGGGGATCCGAACAGCGAACGAGAAACCTCTCCGGTCCGGTTCGGGAAGCCCACCTGTTTATCAAACAGCTATGGAGATTGTGATTAAAGGGGCGTTGTCTGGTCGGGGTAAGCGGTAGTATGTCCAATTGTTCGCGGATCGTAGCTTGATACTGACTAATATTTACACCCCTGCCCATCCCCAGAAGGCTCAAAGGGGTCTTGTATGGGATGAGTGCTGTTTGGAGTGCTAGGAGAGAGGCCGTCTCTAGTTATGTACAATATCAGGCCCTCCTCGGCTATACAGCTAACCGTTGGGCAGGCCACTTCGGAAAATCGCACTTTTAGAATGAGTAGAGCACACGGCTGATTTACGGTAGTGGATATAACAGACTTCTCACATGGCTAAAGTTGTATTAAGGAAATAGTAGCCTGTGTTATCCGACCTCCGGCGATCTTACACATTTAACGAGAAAAAAGCCAGGTTGGGCAGGGGGCTATAGCCGAGTGGCTATTGTTATGACGTGGAAATACCATCAAGCCGCTCACGCTGCGAGGCATCATGTTGTGCGTGGTAGCTCTCCTAAAAGATGCGGTCATATCCCGCACGTTATTGGAGGGTACCAATGCATATTTACTCCACGACTAATATAGCACCCGCATGCGGTCAACCCACCAGTAGTGGTTTGGAGTATTCTAAGGCTATTGAAGGGAACAAATGTGCACCGCAATAATTTCTCTTTTTGGGAATAACAAAGAATTCCAATTACTTCACTACAAAATGCCCCAATTCCCCCTATAATCCCTCAACATTCTCAAATATCGATGAGGCCTGGAGGTCTGATAATCAAGATCCCTGTCATGTGACGGCGCGGCTGGCTGGGGCTTTTTCTCTAATCGCATAATTCATGCTCCCTCCCGGCAAAGACTACATGTCTCTTTTATTTCAATGCCCATTTACCATTCCCTGTTCTTCTGCCACATGTTACCAATCGCCGGTGACCCGGAAGGTAATGCATTGAACCTGCCAGCCTCTATCGGCGTGTAACTACCTAAATCCCATGGTATCCAAAAAAATCGAAATAACAGCTAACTTAAGATTCCGCTTGATTTGAGGTGACCAGTAGATAACCGAAAACAATACCATGGTTCCGGCCCGACTAGGGCCCGGGCAGGAAGCAGGAAGCGAAATGTATTGTGGGTATTTGAAGCCCCTCACGAGTAACCCGGGTTAATCCTTAGCGCGGAGGGTGTAAGATTGCTATAAAAATGCTAGTGGGTAATAGGATAAGGGTTAATAGAGTCGAAAGAAGTTGTAGTGGATGGGTGGCCCGATTGGTGGCTCTGAGAGTACAACTCGTTGCAACCTGTCGATCTACCAGGGGGTGCTGCGGCCTGTACTTTAATAAACCGAACGCATACCTGGTACCAGGCGCTGACTCAAGTTTGCTTTACGTTGCAGAAAGAAATGAAAAGGCGGGTTGGACCTCCCCGTTGGTGCCTTTGTTTTGGAGGGGAGGGGTCACATGACCAGGCAGGATCTCGAGCGTGGGTGGCTGCGTGGCTGTCCATCCTAAATCCAGTCCCGGAAAGGTTGCAACACACTATTGGTGTTTGTGTGTTCAGAACTTCCCGTGTACGATGTCAGAGACGTGACCTGTCACTCGGCCACGTGGGGAACTGCTCTTCTTCCCTGGGCCATGTAACGGGAAGGAATATAAAGAGCGGATTTGACCAAGATGTGATAGCAGTTACGAGACATAAATAACTGAGAATAGAGGATATCTCTGAACATGTCTCACATAAGAGGCGCTACAAAGCATGCCCGAAACTTGTTAAAAGCAGAATCAAAAATTGACAACATGAGTGGGGTAGCCAGATTTCCCACCTGATTATCGGCAAATTTTCTGACGAAGTGACCTACTTGGTGAAAGGTGCTTAGACCCAGCGTCAGAAAATCCTCCGATATCCTCTAAAAACAGACGGACAAGGTTCTTGGTCATAATGAGAGACAGATGCATGTGAGTAATATCGCCACATTAGTTCCCGTTAACCCCCGAGGTAAATATTGTTCATAATAATTACAAGACTTCTCTTTCCTCTACAGATCGCGGTATGCAGAATGCACGAGCTCGATACATGGACATGCCTGCCCAATCCATACCCTGAGGTCCGGCCATGACCTGGCACTATTTGCGGTGTTGATGAAACCCCCCCCTCCGATCAATTCAGCAGGACCACTCTACAAACCGGAGACGTCAATAACCGAGAGACAAAAACCGAGAGACAAAAAATGGTTTATAGAAACTAGTGGCGAACAAATATTGGTCATTAAAACTCTCAACTGAGTGGGTCCTCCCATTTCCAATTAGCTCTGATCTCCGTTCATCGGTGGGTGCGAGTGAGTGACGGTAATACTAGACAACCTTATGGCCTACTTGCCATTGGTGAGCTTGTATGGTTGGCGGGGTCTACGAGTAGTATATAATGCCAGTAGTGGACCGCTGGGCTTATAGTAGACTCATTTCTGTCCATACTCTGGGGAACGGACATTCGTACTTGTTTCCATCTGCATGGACAGGAATCTGTAGTATCCAAGACTAGCCTATGGTCAATCTCTTGTAACACAAAAAAAAACCTTGTGAGTCACCCTATGCAAGAATCCTACCCAGCTAGCGGTTATGAATATTTTCTTGTATCATACCAACTCACTTTCCTCTTGTGTTCTTGTAACTAGCTAGGGAACATGCCCCGTACTTATACTACAGTAAGCAGTCACAGTCTTTCCCACAATGATGTCTATGCTAACTCATGCTTCCAACAGTGAGGTCCTCGCTCGCTTACTCTTCCAACATAAGAGGTACCCGTTACTATATATGGAAGGTTGTTCCAACATTTCGGAGTGGGGGGGTGTCGAGTGATAGATCATGATAACGAAAATACCCAGAGAGGTATGAATGGTGGTGGGCAGTCCGCATTGAGGCTACATGAGATTGCCGCCATATATTGCGCTCCATTTTGGAGTAATCTCGCCTAATTTACCACTGCTTTCCGGAATCTTCTGAAATTCGAGGGATTTCACAGGCCTCTCCTCTGGGAGCGGGAGGGCAGATCTGTAGCTGGTATGGATGAAGCCATACATGGGCAAACTGGGGGTGCGAAATGGCCCGGATTGTGCCTCCGGAGGACTCAGCCGTGGCCCCAACCGAGCCCTTGCTCCTCTAGGAGTATACCGGTGTAACCTGTTGGCTGTCCCTAGCTGGTACAGATGGAATGGGCTCGAGCCAGCGGGCACCTCCGTGCCAGAGATGTACTTGATTCATGAATATCCGGGGAACAGCACCCCACATACCGGCAATTTTTAATAACCTCTAACCTACGATCTATCGATCCAGTAATCTACTTATCCCCGCTTCCTACAGCTCGCTAAACCTTATTCAGTTATCCACCCGTGTTGTTGTAACTGGCTTTGCTTCCCTACAGCAGGAGTTAATACCGAGTTAGCCTTGATACCCATCCAGTATCTGCAATGAAATTCACCCCCTCGTCGCTACCACCGTCCCTCTCGCATTCTCAGTTATTCCCTACCCAAGCCATACTAAGGGGTCCCTTCAATGTTTTCTTTTTTTTTGGTTTGCGGATAAGGCAAGACTCAGCCGGCCACCCTCCCGGTAGGCATTGCCAAGGTAAATGAGTTGGCTTTTATTTTTAAACCGCAAGTTGCCGGCGATCGCTTAGTGGGGAGTGACAGACTATAAAGGAATGGTAATAGGGGACTAAAGGTGATATGCGGTCGGCGCCGGAAGTGAGAGATGGACGCCAGAACTCAAGGTTTCAGTGGCGCGCGGGAGAATTCGGGAACTTTAAGGAGCATCCAGGGAATTTGTATTGGCTTGTTCGGTATTCTTTCCTACTCTCCTGGGGAGAAATTACGTCAATAAATATTTCCCCCCCTCCAATAGCTTTGCAATCCTCCAACCCAGTGCCGATAAATCTGTCTACGCGCAAGATTGTGTACTTCTCCCAGAATAAGTCTGCAGCAGTACCCCTATAGCGGCGCCCCGGCCATAAAATCGCCCCTCCGGAGGGCTACCGTGCTCGATACGGTGACATACGGTTTGCATCGGATTTTAATATCTCTGCATTACTCCAGTGAGCCCTTAACTTTATCGCCCTTCCCAAGCCAAGTTGTGATCATTAAAGGTACAAAGCTGCAGGGGAATGGATCATACCGGCCACCGTTTGCTCAATACACTGCAAACCATGTGAGAAGTCTGGTGTGCCCACTCTGTAAATCAGTCGTTTAAGCTCCATATTCCAATTCCGGGACCGTCCGATGTGGGCTGGCTAAGGGGTCGCTCTCTAGATGAGAAGGGCATATTTCTGCGCACAGCTATGGGCCGCCTCTATCCCAGCACTCCCAACAGCACTCATCCTAAATGAGTCTGTTTTAACGTCATCTCGTGATGGGTGTGGGTGTAAACACCCGCTAGCATCAAGTTGTAATCCGTGAAAAATGGGGTATACTACCGCTTGCCTGGACTAGGAAATGCACATTTGACCACGAACTCCGCATATGCTTGGTGAACTAGCTGGGTCATTAAAATAGTCTTCTGCCCGGTGGGGCAGGATGGATTTCTCGTTACATTTTCGGGGAGCCGGTGAAGATCCCGCCTCCTCGGCTATCTTTTCCCGCCTGATTCGAGCTCGATACGGAATTCGCTTCCCATAGTGTGAGATGTCCTGGGGTTTCTGCGACCATATACAGGGTTTGTCGAGCTCCCTTCTCTCGCAGCAGCGCTCGGCTAATCGTGTCAGCGAATTCTGAATGGTGGCGGGGTACAGCAAAGGTAGTGTTAGTACCATCCTCCGGGGGACTCTCACCATTACCCTTCAAAATTTCAAGGCCTGCGAAAGTAAAGGGGGCCCCCAGCTGGTATCCAGAGAGGAGGTTGAGCAAGTGGTCGGGTCCTCCTCGGTTTGTGCAAACCAACCCGTAGAACCGCATGCAATCATCTGTGACAAGAACAACGCGAAGTTATGATAGTAGCGTGGACTCCATCCTCCCCTTTCTAGTGGATTCTTGTTGTTGTGGTAGGGGCGACTCGTGGTGATGAACCCCAAAACTGAGTCGGAAGGGTAATCTAGGATGAAGTGTAAGGTTACACAATGGTGGGGCTGGACCTGCATGAGCCGCAGACTCGTAGTACTCATACAAGTGCTCGTAGCAGAGGATTACGGTAGGAACCTCAAAATATTAGAACAGCTGCAAAGCAGCCGAGGGAGCTGTCTTTTACAGATAATGCAACAAGGTACGGCTTCAACGAAGGCTTTTCGATTTATATGGCAGGGAGAAATGATAGTAAGCGAGGGAGAGGAGCGACGAAGTAGGGGGGAAAACAATTTGGGAACGAGATGACTTGTGTTACTTGAAGGAAAAGAAGAGAGAAATACAGGGCGTGAGGGCCTATAATCACTTCTCATCTGACCTTCCAAACCTCCGTGGAGAAACTTCCATCCTCCTCGCCTAGTGCTAGCGTGCGGAGAAGAGATTTTCCCGTTCCACACCGCTAGTCTGTAATGCTGGTCTCTGCAGAAGAAAAACATCTTTTCACCGACAAAACATCTCTGGTTAGGAACCTGCTTCGACCAGGAAACAAGACAGAACACTCGAGGCACTTCCGAGGGCATGTTGCGCAGAAACTCCTGATTTCCAACACTGTGGCTCCTCCGGATGTTTTTTTTCCAGGCACCCCGGCTGTCATACTCGTAGCCCCGCTGATATCTGCTGGATAGGGATAGGTACTGGGATCTGTTCGAAATTTTCGGGTGTGATTGATCGGCACTAAAGAATTCTCGGCGAGATTATCAAGGCACGCGTGAACCCCCCCCTCTAGTGCTGGCGAAAGTTTCAACTTAAGATCTGCGTATTTTCCACTTAGGCCCCCTTAGGTTGCAACGAGAATCTATCATAGGAGCCGCAGACTTGTATCATGGCACCAGGTTAAGAGCCGCAACCAATTCTGATTTCCCCACGCGCTTGAGCATCGTGGTTGCGACTCTTCCGCCATTTGGAATTAGTGCTGAAATAGCGCTGAAATCCCCCATTACCTTCAACGTCGACTTCCCCCATTCCCCAACCGGCCGTGGTTTCAGCCTAAAATCCCCCGATTTCTTATCCAAAATCTATTCCAGTGGTCAGACGACGGGTCGTGGAGTACCCCTCGTGGAAACTAAGCCCGTCCCCTTGAATTTTGCCGTCGACTCAAAAATTGGGGATTCAAGGACCTTCCTGGTGGTTTCCTCGGCTCCGCTACTATTGGCTCTAGTGTCTTTTATAGAAACGAGTAGGTGTGGCGGATGAAGCCGGGTACCAGCACATAGGATTTCATCGGCGCACTAGTCGGGTGAGGGCGTACTAAATATATTTCACCCCTCAGGTCTTACCTGCTTAGTCCCTTAGGAACTGGACGCACTGAGTTCTTGGCGTTGGATTTGGGGAAGGGCTTTGAAAGCAATTCCTACCGTAGTTTCGTCCGGGGACCTTTCTCGGGAGCATCTAGTAATTGGCACCTTGTTTTTGTCTCACCGGTGCACCCAAAATAAATGACCGGAATCATGTTACAGGACGCGATTTTGTAGAGGTGTGCAACATCCCCAACACTAGCGCAAAACGCCACTGCAACTTCCGGGAGGGCCATAGATGGAATCAGGAAATCAGATATCAATTCTAATTATTTATTTTAACATTACCGGAGGAACTTCCAGCATAGAAGTGCCTTCCCTGATGGGACTATTCCCGTTTTAGAAATTTTGGATCGAGTTGGCTCGGAGGGCAGATTTTGGTTGTCCGGAACCATCGTACCCTTGCGGGATAGCGTTGGTACATGTCGGAGCCCAGGGCCCTTAGTGACTTTCAGGAACATTTAGGAGTGATATTGAGCACCTGGGGAATTTGATCTGGGCGCTTCTACGTTATAAGAGAAATTATTTAGATAAATATTTCTCTTCTCCTATAGTTTTGGGATCCGCCGATCGGCTGTTGATCAGTTTGTCTACATGCAAGGTGGCTCTCTTCCAGGAGTAAACATGCCTCAATACCACTTCCTGGAGTCTATTGGTTTTAACCTGGTTTTTCGGGAGAGCTGCAACCCTCAGTGTAGCCCCGTGTTGTTTAGGCTAGGAGTTTCCCCCCATATCCCCCCCACGAGTGCCTAACTGTAACCTTTCTCCTATGCCCGGCTGTAATCGCTACATTACGTGGTACTATAGTTAGCAGACCAGAATGAGGTCTGAGGAACAGTAGGTGAGTTGTGGTCATAAACCAAGGGGGTGCTTGGCACGTCAAGGTTTGTAAGATAATACCTTAGGGTCTGTTTTCACACGACCATTCCGTTCCGTTCCCCCATACAAAATGACGTTTCGCTAACGGAACCGTAAGGTAATTTGCATAGGTGAACTGAATGGAGTGCTCGCATCCAAATAGACCCTTGTAAGCCATGGTTCATAAGGTATCACCTTACCAGCTACGGTCAAAAATGTAAGATGTGTTTGGCCGCGCATGGTATGTAAAATATAATTTTTCTACATTGTACGCCGTGGTTTTGTGTATCTTATAAACTTTGATGCGCCATGCACCCCCAAGTTCTTTCCTTCAGTATTCTCTCCGAAATTGTGCCGAAGGTAGGGGTACAGGCGGAACACGATAGAGGCACCCAGATCCTTCCAGGGATCCCCGCACCTCTCACCTTCTCTATCTGTGATCCTATTCTGCCACACTGAAACCCAGGTTGGGAAGCAAGGGAATTTACCGGGGGAGCAACCTTTGCGCAAACCGGAGCTCCGGGACAAAATAAACCGTCTCCTGCATTCCCGAGCCCTCCACGATAAACCCCGACCACTACCCTTCACTATAAATCCTCACAACATTAACATCCTAAATGGCCGGGCTGCAACACTTTTCTCATTTTTGTTTCATTTGCTGGATGCGGGGAAGTGTATGAAGCGAGTCATGATTGTGATGTTGTGATATCTTCCCCATTCTCAGTTATTCCGGCTCAAGCAATTCCTATGCTCTAGCCTTAAAAGAATTCCGTTTTCTACCTCTCGTCACATTTTCAAGCGAATCGATGCTCTCCCATCCCCGTGTGACAATATGGTGACCTCGTCTGGCAAGTAGGGTACGGGAATTTCCCAACACGCAAACACCGGAAGTGCTCTACTACTTGCCCAACGTTGGTTTAGATGAAAGCCCTCACGGAAACCTGTCCCCAAAGCTCCCTCAGGTCGGGTAGTGCCACCACTCTACCTCTGAGAACAGACAAGGGCTTATTTTCCCCGTAACGGCGACTGACTTGTTTCACCAACCCCCTACAAAATATGGTATGCTAGAATCCGAAAACGCTTCATGTCAGATGCGCTTGAATAATTAACATACAGGATACAGCACCGGAATGTCGACGTTTCACAGCACCTTGCGCTATCAGAGCCACTAGTCCCCTGAGCTACCTCCTACACCTTTCCTCAATGCCAGAGACCTAATTTGGTTATCCAATGCTATCGCTGTCACCGGCTTGTGTTCTTGTACTCCGTGTTGATCCTGGGTTGGTTGTAGCCATCTGCGAACATCCATTAAGCAATTCGTGCTCACCGGTTTCCCTCCCTCTGCCGTTAAGAAATAGACTACCGTATATTGTCAATAACGCCATACGAAGAACCTTTTTCATGAAATTATTGTTTAAACCCCATGGATTATAGGAGACTTAACTAGTTATGTGCCGGACGGATGGGGGTGAGTAGGTGCATCAGATAACACCCCGATGGAAGTTACCTGGCAGCACTTGGTAAAAAGAGGTCGATTGGGTAGGAGTGGTGACGGGGCATCGGAGTAAAGACGAAATATGGGTGTTGGGATATAGTATATAGGCATTAAGTGACAAGTAAAAAAATTGTAGCTAGTCAAATAATTGGGTTATAGGAATGGTGGGTGGAGGAACAAGGTTGGTGAACTAATGGGCTTCAGGAAACTTGCACCAGGTTGTTTGGGTGGAGTTCTTTACTACTGGTTAAAAAAAGGAACTGGTGTATACAGGTAGAGCGGTTCCCGCAATCACCTACGCGAAGCCCCCTGTCTAAATATTTCTTCACGCAAATAACCCAGAATTCCCTACCCCGCTGCGTATAAATTTATCCACATGCAAGATGTTCTACTCCTACCCGGGCACATATGCACTGGCATAAACCTCCTGTAGCATCCTTGTAATAACCTCGTCTCCCGGCGAGCCGTTACATTCAATCCGGGGCCGTGTCGTTTCGATCGAGTGCTGACAGGGGTATCTCCTCACTCCTCAGATAGTTGCTCCACCGCCCTTCGCCTAAAATCACTTGTTGTCCTGTAGGGCCATGGGAGAATTGATCATGCGGTAGCTATTCTCCCCGTGGACTATAAGCCATGTGAGAAATCAGTCAGATCCACCCCCGTAAAGTAGTCAAGCGAACTCCGTATCTCGACCCCGCAATTCCCGGAAGTGCCCTCCCGAACGATTAGCTGTGTGATTGAGGAGAAAATCGTTTTGTAGATAACGATAGCCGGCCCCTCTCCTACTCCTTGGAGTAACAGTCCCTAATTCTCTACTTTTATTGTGTTCTAGTGACAGATTGTGTAATTATTAGCCAGCACCAAGCTATAATGCAGGTAGATCACCGACTCGAGATTGCGGATACAAGGACCCGGCAGATCTCCTGCTTCCCTTGCTACTCTTGTTGCAGATCCTGGGATCCTGGGCTGCCTTGCCCTTCCTGATTCCGAAGGTGGAATTCATGTCCTATGGGATAGAAAGTTGACGGGACAGCTATCTAGATGGCAGAGTGTAGTAGAGGCAAAGGTTAGTAGACCCCGCCTGAGAGTCCCCCCCACTATCCTTCAAAATTCAGTGAATCCCTTGAGATGGAAGGGCTCTCGGCCTGGGCGATGAGTTGAGGGTACTGGGCAAATATTCCAGCCCTCTCGGGAACCCGCAGACTAGCCTAAGGTGCCGCAACCCATAACCTACCCCATAGGCCGCCTTAGTATAATAGCTTTCCATCCTTCCCCGTAGCTAGGTGGCCGTTACCGTAAGAAAAAGTCCCCCCGGTTTTGCTACACGGGCGGCAGCGCATCGCAGGATTTTCGGGTTGCATCGGAAGTTGGTGATTGAGCAAGATGGGTTCCTCTACTGAAAAGCGGGGCTGGCCTTGCGCATGAGCCGCATGTGTAACATAAGATTAAAGGCCACCAGGCCAGGGTAACGACCAAACTCTGGAACAGCCGCAACTCCCACAGCAGTTTTTAACCACAGGACCTATCGTCGCTGCTACCCCTCTGCTACTCAGAATAAGTCCCGAAATATCGCTGAAATCTGCTAATGTCGTGACCACCACATGGAGAGTCCG